AAGGGAAACAAAAAGATGGCAGTTATGGCATGGAGGGTCTAGGTATATTGGTGACCATAAATGTATATCGACAGCATCCTACCGAGTTACGTAAGTTTCTCACATGCTCACATTTCTTGAATGCTGCCCGGCACTTCATGTCAGGGTGTAGAGAAAACAGACAGTTGGATTCATCTGTAGTTGCAATGTTTCCAGACAAGTGGGATAGAATAACTGCAGTGCAAAGCTGTTAAAAACTAGGAAGAGAATTATGAAAGTGATAACCAAAAGAAATCCAACCTGAAATATATAGAAATATGTTGGATTTACTAGTCATTTCAAAGAAGCAATGTCTTACTTGTGGTCAGGAGTTTGAGACCAGCTTGGTCAACATGGTGAAACCCTGTCTCTACTAAAAATACAAAAATTAGCCAGGAGTGGTGGCACATGCCTATAATCCCAGCTACTCTGGAGGCTGAGGCAGGAGAGTCACTTGAACCTGGGAGCCAGAGCTGGTAGTGAGCTGAGATCATACCACTGCACTCTAGCCTGGGCAACAGAGCAAGACTCCATCTCAAAAAAAAAAAAAGCAACGTCTTAGAGAAAGTTGAAGACCAGGAAATAAAAGGAGCATGAAGTAAAAAGTTGAGGATGTATGGGTATTTATAAAGCATTTAACGTGGATTCTACAGGAAGGTTGGATAGGAAAAAGGACAGTGGGAAATAGGGTCTCACACAGTTTGACACTGAGAGTCAGGAATGATACAGCAAGTGCTTCTATCTTTGGACAGCGAGCAAGGCTGATTCAAGGGATGTGCAATCATGACTGACTTAGCAGGTCTTGAGGTTGTGAGAAAGTCCATCACACTCAAGTTTCTTCAGAATTTAGTTACGAGTTGGGTGGGAAACAATTCTTAGGAAGTTATTAACCATTTCTTGTGGATAGGGAAACTCTGGTCCCTCTGAAAGTCACTCTGAAAGAAGTTGGCTCAGGTCTAGCCTTAATAAAACACCCAAGAAAGATTCTCATGGACCAAGTTCTAGGCTTATAGAGAGTACGGGTATGTGTACCCCTTGGTATCTCCTAATAATAAATACATCTAAATTTCTCCTGAGACAGATGGGGAATGAGGAGTGTCTCAAAATCCAGGAGCTACATAGGAAGATAACTAAGACTGAAGCTTAGAAAATATTTGGTGTCTACACTGAAATGAATGTCAGAAACATGTTTTATTGTGGAAACAAGTTTTCCCTTGTTTCGTAATTAAACCTCCTGTTTTCTTTTGTTTCAAGTAGTACATTAGTTAGCTATTGCTGCATAACAAATTGCTCCCAAAACTTAACAGCATTGCTAGACACTTATTTTTGCTTCTATGGATCACAAATCCTGGTGCAGCTGAGCTGCCTGTCTCTGGTTCAGGGTTTCCCACAAGACTTCAGGGTATTGGCTGGGGCTGCAGTCATCTCAGGGCATAACTGGAGGATCTGCTTCTAAGCTCACTTATGGCTATTGAAGGCCTCAGATCCTCATTGGGTGTCAGCCAGAGAGACATCAGTTCTTTGTTACATGGGCCTCACCACAGGGCAGTTCACAGCATAGTAACTGGCTTCCCTCAGAGGGAACAAGAGAGGTGCCCAAGATGGAAGCCACGTCTTTGTAACCTTACCTTGAGAGTGCTTCTCATCACTTCTGTAGCATTTTATTCACTAGAAGCAAGTCACTAAATCTAGCCAAGACTAAAGGGGAAGGAATTACAAAAGGGCATGAATACCAGGAGGCAAAGATCTATCTCGGGGGCTACCTACAAACAGTAAAGATATTTAGACATCTTCAAAGATTGTGTGTTTGCTTCAGGACAAAGACTCATTTCCCTTCTATAGATCAAGAAAAAGGTTCCTTGTCTGAATTTACTAAAAAAGCCCCAACTATCCTCCTTAGCCTGAGTCTCGGTCCCTCAGATCTACCCTCTATTAATTACAACCAGAGTGAGCTCCTTATGTTCAGATTTATTTGAGGTTCTCCCTCCCCTTCCTCTCTACACACACACAAACACAAATATACCATGTTCTTTCTGACCCTTGCTTATGCCTCTGCCTCTGCCTGGGCTGCCTTGTGGCTAATCTCCCTCATTCTTATTATTAACTAAATTACTCCTCATGGTTCAAGTCCAAATTCAGATGCCACTTTTTCAGGAACCAAGACTGAATTGTGCGTCTTCCTGTGTGTTCATACAGTTTCTGTCAAAGCACTTACCCACACGTATTTTCATGTTCAGCTTCTCATCTAGATACTGTGTGTAGTGTGGTTGAGAATGTCTTAGTTATATCCCTGGTGACTAGCATACTACCTGGAAAGTAGCAGGGGCTCGGGCAATTATTTGTTGCTTGGTTGCATGTGGATTTAAAGACCATTCCAGAAGCAGTCAATAGCTGGTGGCAGTGGAAAGAGATGTAAGATGAGTCTTTCCTTGATGCCTCTTTTCCCTTCCCTAAGGAGGATTAGTAATTAGTTTTGTCCTAGAAGTGTCCCTGAAGCATAAAGAGTCCAGACCCACAAAGGAAGTAGAGACTGGAAAGGGGAGCCACTCTGGTCTCTGAGCTAGTATTCTCAGTCCAACCCCAGACTTCCCTATGTGAATATGAATAAAATGAAGAATGGATTTTCTTGCTTTTATATGGGGACATATTTTTTAAAACCTCTCAAGTTAGGATTTTTTAAAGATCACTTTCATTGAAGAAAGATTAATGTGTGATAAAATGTATCCATTTTAAGTGTACAGTTGAATGAGTTTTGACAAATGTAGTTTTCTCTTAAAAATGCTGATCTAAAATAGCTAATTATTGTGAATGATGGTCTAAAATAGTTTTGTGCACTAGTCAGGAAAACCTCACCTTAGCTTATAACATGACTTATACAGAAGTTCTAAGCAGCCCTCATAAAAAATAACTTTGGAGTATCACCTATTTAAGGACTTTATAACAAATTTATAACAAATTTGAACAAGGAATTTATGAAGAATTCAGAAATCTCTGTATGAGCACTTAATTATTACTTGGTAAAAATCCTGACAAATCACTTAGGAATGCATTGTTAGCAGTTTCCTATGTTGTCTACCAAAGTGGAAATTAACTGGCAAACAGTTTAGGTTGCTAGCTAACAGAGAAGAAAAGTTTCTAATACGTCACCATAGCTAGGCTCATAGGCTCATTCCTATAGTCCCAGCTACTCTGGAGGCTGAGGTGAGTGGATCACTTGAGCCCAAGAGTTCAAGGCCAGCCTGGGAAACATAGTGAAACCTCATCTCTAAAAAAAAAGAAAGACAGAAAAAGAAAAAATCACCAAAAGTGAAGTTTATGCACAAAAGGAAATTATAAGGTGTGTTGGTTCCAAAATTCTACCCCTTGTACCCTCTAGAGTAGGAGGTGCCATCTCACGGTCCTCAGAACCTTTTACTCCCATTGTGGTTTTCTCTTTCCCTTCTCCAATTAGCCAGAGCATATATATCTGAAAGACAATTCGAATGATGTCCTGCATCTTGACATTCTTATGGATTTTACTAATAGCTCCTCATTTATTTATAATTCAACAAATATTTTGTGGATACCTACTAATCCTAAGATCACCCTTGGTACTAAGAATGCAGCAGTGAACAGAATAAAGTTTCTGTCCTCAAATAACTTACATTTTAGCTTTTCGTTTTGCAAGGTTGAGAACTGCAAAAGAGTGCCTGCAAATATTGCTGACGCTATTCTTAGAGTCATTTCCTTAATTATTAATGAATGGATTTAGCTATGGGGTCCCAGATATTTATCTGCAACTCCAGCTCCTGTCCAGAGTTGCATCCTATGTTTTCAGATGCCCATTGGGCATTCTTACTGGATGTCAGATTCAAAGGTGAGCTCAGTTCCCAAATGAAAGCCATCGTTTATTTCTGAGTTTCCAATATCCATTAATAGCATCATTACTTATCCATTTATCCAAGCTTGGCACCTCCAAGTTGTCCTTGACTCCCAGCCTCTTTACTCACATCCAGTCAAGTTATTCAAGCCAATTAATTTGACCCCCTGAATATCCTTCAAGAGCATCCCCACTTCTCTATTATCACTGCCTTAGTTTGTGCCCTCAGAACCACTCAACTACTGAAAATACCCTCTCCCTCATTTCCTACCTGTGATTTCTCCATGCTGTTTTTAAGACATAATTCTGATTGTACCATTCTCCTGCCTGAAGTCCGGTGACTCCACAGCTTGACAGCAATGTCTTTGAAATGACACAAGATACTTATTGATTTAACCCAATCTTTATCTCTGACCATACACCTTGTGTTCTATTCACGTTACATTGGAACACTCCACGCTCTCCATATTTGTACCTTTGCACAGTCTCTTCCATCAGTCAGTCTCCTGTCGCAAAATGCCTACCTTAACTGTTACTGATTTTATACAGCCTCTAATAGTCCCTAAGCAGTAATTTCTTTCTTCCTGTTTTCCCTCAGTATTTTGTTCATTCTTCTACTGTGGTGTTTATATTATATTGCACTGCAGTCATTTATTTTTTTCATGTCTTTCTCCAGTAAAAGTTTCAAACAGCCCTTTCTAAACTGTGAGATCTTAGAGAACTTGGACTATAGCAAATTCATACTTAGTTTTCTGGCAATTTGGAGCATTTCAGAATTTGAACATTCCTTCATTGCTTTTCATCAGTGAACTTATCTGAATGTGGTTTTATTTATTTTGATCTATGAAAAATTACTACCCTAGAATTTCTTCAGTCTTTGGTTAAGTCCATACTGCAGTTTAATGCTCATATGCAAGAAATTCTCTTTTCTTTAGTTTTTCTCTAAAATATACTTAGTAAGCTTATAGGTAAAAAATAGTTTGAGCAGTTATAATGGTCATACTTTTTATGATGTATTTATTTCTTTATCATAAAGACACTTCATTTGGAGTACCTTAACATGAAGTTATCTGTATTTACCTATAGTCTAAATTATACTATCTATAATTTGCTTAATTTTTAGGGTTCAACTACACGAATGGACCACGAAACAGCCAGTGTTTTGAGTTCTAGTAGCACACACTCTGCACCTCGAAGGCTGACAAGTCATCTGGGAACCAAGGTAACAGAAGATTAGAAACCCTGGTCACTAATGCCATGAATACTTTGCTAAGACATTCTTGGCCAGGTGCAGTGGCTCACACCTGTAATCCCACCAAGGCAGGTGGATCACTTGAGGCCAGGAGTTCAAGACCAGCCTGGGCAACATATCAAAACCCCATCTCTACTAAAAATACAAAAATTAGCCGGCGTGGTGGCACACACCTGTGGTCCCAGCTACTTAGGAGGCTGAGGCATGAGAATAGTTTGAACCCAGGAGGCAGAGGTTGCAGTGAGCTGAGATTACACCACTTTCTAGTGGAGAATTCTGATTCACAGTCTCTTAAAGAAATGACATCTTTTTATACAAAGAAGCATAAACAAAGGAAAAATCAGGATTATAAAGAGTGCCAGATTACCTAATTTTTAATTCTTTTTCAGTCTTTCCATCCACTTATCTGCAAGAATACTGAGTTCCAGCCAAACTGGCTCACTTCCTTCTTCCTGAACACTCCCTGTGACTTTACACCTCCCTTCCTTGCCTGCACTGGTGGGGACCACCATAAATGTCTGTCAGAATCCTAGCCAGCCTTCAAAACTCTTCTTGGGCTTTGCTTTTTTACAAAACATTTTCTGATTCCCAAAGTCCTCTTACCTCCCCATGTGATCCATCTACCTCATTTGAATCACTAACAATTTGCATGAACCTGCCTTTTGGAAATAAAGAAATGTTTTTTTACTTGTCTTTTGCTGTGTCTAAGATGGTGCCTGCACGTGAGTAAATATGTATTGAGGTGAATGGAAAAGTTGTTGAAGTTGAGTGTTATTTCATGCTGATAAGTGAGTTTCATTAGAGTATCTTTCTTAGATGCTAGCAAATATTTTAGGATTTGGGAATAGTGTTTGAGAAGAAAATACTTACTTTAGACCAGATGTGGTAGCTCACACCTGTAATCCCAGAAATTTGGAAGGCCGAAGTGGGTGCATCACGTGAGGCCAGGAGTTCAAAACCAGCCTGACCAACATGGTGAAACTCCATCTCTACTAAAAATACACAATTAGCTGGGCGTGGTGGCACATGGCTGTAATCCCAGTTACATCTCTACTAAAAATACACAATTAGCTGGGCGTGGTGGCACATGGCTGTAATCCCAGTTACTCGAGAGGCTGAGGCAGGAGAATTGCTTGAACCTGGGAGGCAGAGGTTGCAATGAGCCGAGATTACACCATTGCACTCCAGCCTGGGGAATAAGAGCAAAACTCCATTTCAAAAAAAAAGAGGAAAATATAGTTACTTTATTATTTTAAAGTCAGAGATTTTATTTTATTATTTTTTATTTTTTGAAACGGAGTCTTGCTCTGTTACCCAGGCTGGAGTATAGTGGCACGATCTTGGCTCACTGCAACCTCCACCTCCTGGGTTCAAGCGATTCTCCTGCCTCCGCCTCCTGAGTAGCTGGGATTACAGGTGCATGCCACCACGCCTGGCTAATTTTTTTTGTATTTTTAGTAGAGATGAGGTTTCGCCATGTTGGCCAGGCTGGTCTCGAACACTTGACCTCAGGTGATGCACCCATCTCTGCCTCCCAAAGTGCTGGGATTACAGGCGTGAGCGACTGCACCCGGCCCGTCAGAGATTTTTAAATTAACTAAGATGAAATGAAATTCTACTATTACTAAACAATATAGTTTTGGTTAACTCGAATTCCATTAATTGTTTTCACAGCATACTCTGTATACTCTTTCTTTACTGTAAATAATATAATAGCTCTTGGGAAATGTATTACTGAAATAACTAATGTTGATTTAAGTAATGATTTTAGAATAATCAATGATATTCTCACTATGAGGCTTATTCCTGTTTATACTTCTTGGAACCTCTTATATGCCAGTAACTGTGCCAGGAGTTGTGTGTACATTATCTGTGGTCCCCTCCAAAATTCTGTGAAGTATTCATATTTCTCTAAATGAGAAAACAAGCAAAAAAGTTTTAGGCATGGAAATTTAATTCCAGATCTGTCTAACCTCAACATGTAGTTTTTACTGTAAAAAAAATCTTGAATATTCAAGAGCACTATTGTATGAAAACTGGCAATTAGAATACTATTTCTTTCTGAAGTCGTTTATGCATGATAATATTAAGACCCTAGTATGTATTTTGAATGCCAGCTACTGTCCTATACATGTATTATTTTATTTCAGGTTAATGGAGAAAACATTGTTAGGTAGGTAAATTTCTCCATTTTGCAGCTCAGAAAACTGAGGCTCAGAGAAATCAAATAGCTTGACAATAATAGCATCACAGCTTGCTCCTAAGAGGTGGAGCCAAAATTTGAGCCTAGCTCCAATGAAAACCCATTTATCCACAGTCCTATACTGCCTTCCTAAAATTTTCATATCTAAAGGTATGTGTGTATTTACACATTTAAAGCAGCATTTCTAAACCTCAGCACTATTGGCTAGATAATTCTTTGTTGCGTTGTAGAATGTATAGTAACATCCCTGGTGCTTACCCACTAGATTGCCCTAAAATACCTGTCCTGCAATTGTGACAACCAAAAATGTCTCCAAGATGTTGTCAAATGTGTCCTGATGGGGGCAAAATTGCCCCGAATTGAGAACCACTGAGTTATGGAGATGATGCATTCTTTACATAATAGCCTCTTCTTTTATGTAATACCCTGTAGCTTTAAAATGAGTGGACCATGCTCCAGGATAACTGGGTGCCATTTTCCTGTTTCTAATCGGCTCCTAAGTAAATACTTAGAATTTATTGTCAGAGAGTAATTAGTACTTACTGGTTGCTTTTTTAAAAACTGACTACAAATCCCAGCTCTCACTCTGTATGATCATGGCATTTTCCTTTTTATGACAAAACATTTTTAAATTTATAATCATATAATTTTAACAATATTATCATCTGACGAGAATTAATGATTGCTGAGAATTAGTACTTACAATTGTTGCAGAAATGTTTTCTATTTATTGCTTATGGGTATAGATTAAAAGAAATGAGATAAAATTTTAAATTCTGTAGAGAATTTAGCTAAACTGCGTTCTCTATGTGTGTGAAATCAGTTGTTTTTCCCTGATTATAGTCAGTGGATTAGCACCAACTGATCTAGGCAAACAGCACTAACAGTTAGTGAGTATGCAAAAACCTACTTTTTCTTTTAATACTGTATTTTACCACTCATATTATTTACTCACATAAACAAACTGGTGATGATACATAGATTTCGAAATAACACTGATTACTTCATCCTGGAAAGGTTTTCAGGTTTTTTTTGTGGGGGGGGGGTTGTTTTGTGTTTTTAGAGTTACAGTAAATATCCCATTCATCACTTAATTGGTTTTTGGCTTTTGGATATTAAAGTCATAATTTTGTTTCTAAACTCATTTGGCCCACAGGTGGAAATGGTGTATTCATTGTTGTCAATGCTTGGTACTCATGATAAGGATGATATGTCGCGAACTTTGCTAGCTATGTCTAGCTCCCAAGACAGCTGTATATCCATGCGACAGTCTGGATGTCTTCCTCTCCTCATCCAGCTTTTACATGGCAATGACAAAGACTCTGTATTGTTGGGAAATTCCCGGGGCAGTAAAGAGGCTCGGGCCAGGGCCAGTGCAGCACTCCACAACATCATTCACTCACAGCCTGATGACAAGAGAGGCAGGCGTGAAATCCGAGTCCTTCATCTTTTGGAACAGATACGTGCTTACTGTGAAACCTGTTGGGAGTGGCAGGAAGCTCATGAACAAGGCATGGACCAGGACAAAAATCCAAGTATGTTCTCTTTGGTGTACATCATAGTGCATGTTTCAAAGCAAATGTGAGATTTTTAAATAGAAAACATTTTTAGTTAATATGCTGTCTTTATGACTAAGAGGAGGAAATTCACATCAGCCATTTGTGCTACTATCATGTTTAAAAGATTAAGTCTGTATTTCCCTAGAAAAATTTAGCAAAGGAAATGTTATGTGCACTACTATAAGAACAGTAAGTCAAGAGAAATTTATACAGTCATGGCATAGTAGGGCCTTAGTAGAGCTAGAAAGAACTTGAGCAATTATGTTGCCCATCTTTCACTTCATAGCTGAAGCTCATTTCATAGATGAAAGTGACTTTACGTAAGTTCCTTCAGCCATTAGTGTACAAACCATAATATTTTACATTTGCATATCATTATATTTAGGGGACACAGAGCATCGTTACATCTGTTATATTATTTGCCCCTCACAACAACCTAGTGAAGTAGGAAGGGAAGGTATTATCTCCATTTTACAGATGAAAAAACTGAGGCTCAAAAGAACTAAAGGACTTAACCATGGCCCTCACACCTAGTAAGTGGTAGACCCAGGAACAGAGCCCAGATCTCCTGACTCTCAGCTCGGTGCTTTTCCTACTGTACCATCCAGCTGTAGACAGTGGGCCCCAGTTGCTGGGAGTGATAATCCACCCAGCTCTTCACTCAGGAGGGGACCCTTAGACACCAGCCCCGCTCCCTCAGGAGCAGCATGGGAGTTAGGACCTGTGGGGATATAACTTACTTCATTCGTGTAGCCAACAACCAAAAGCAGTAAGTATGTAAGGTAAGACCTTCCTTTCACCTGTCAAGAACTGACACACACACACACACACACACACACACGTGCACTACAAGTAGATGATTCTACTGTATCAGCCTATTGATGTGAAGAGGAGATGATGCAAACATGACTTATGAAGCTGTAGCAGATTTTTTAAAGCTCGGGTATGAAGATGAATTTATTTGAAATCTAAAAATGTTGAAGAATAAGAAAGGCCAGGTGTGGTGGTTCATGCCTGTAATCCTAGCACTTTGGGAGACTGAGACAGGAGGATTGCTTGAGCCCAGGAGTTTAAGACCAGCTGGGCAGCATAGTGAGACACTGTCTCATTTTTTAAAAATTTTAAAAGAATAAGAAAAAAGGGATTGCCTTTCATACCTATTTGTCCTAGGGTGAGAGAACTAGTAAGATTTTTACTGGGAGAACATTGCCTTCCTGGATTGTTTTCTTTGGCTATCCACAATTATGTAATGACCCACATTTTGTACTCTTGATATTTGTTCTCAAAAAATTAAATAGAATAAAATAATATTTCTTTTGAGATTTTTTTTAAAAATTATGTCAAATGAGTTTTGAAACCTTGTGCATAGTATTGAATGTGGAGGTACATTTTCTTGGACACCCTTTTTAGAAATTTCTGTTTACTCTGTAGTATATCTGTCTAACTTTTTGTATTAGAGATCACATTTGTACATAGCCATATGCTTTTTTTTCTGTTTGCATTGAGATATGGTCTCACACAAGCGCCCAGACTATAATGCAGTGGTGCAATCACAGTTCACTGCAGCCTCAACCTCCCAGACTCAAGCACTCGTCCCACCTCAGCCTCCTGAGAGTATCTGGGACTACAAGCATGCACCACCACAACTGACTAATTTTTTTTTTTTTTAAAGAGATGGAGTTTTGCCATGTTTCCCAGGCTGTTGTTGAACTCCTTGAACTCAAGGATCTGCCCACTTCAGTGTTCCAAAGTGCTGGGATTCCTGGTGTGAGCCACCGCACCCAGCACCATGTGCTTTTAACCCACACTCATGATAGTAGTTTAAATAGAAATTATAAACAGTGGCTCGTACCTGTAATTCCAGCACTTCAGGAGGCCCGGGCAGGAGCGGCACTTAAGGCCAGGAGTTTGAGACTACCCTAGGCAACATAGCAAGACCCTATCTCTACAAAAATTTTTTTAAATTAGCTAGGGGCTGTGAGGTATGCCTGTCGTCCTAGCTGCTCCGGAGGCTGAGGCAGGAAGGTCACCTGAGCCCAGGAATACAAGGCTGCAGTGAAAGCTGTGATCATTCCACTCGAGCCTGGGCAACAGAGCAAGACCCTCTTTTGGTTTTTTTTGTTTTTTTTTTTTTAAGAAAGAAAGAAATTATAAACAAAATTAAATCATTTTGTACCAAAATGTTTTTATTATTTTGTATACTCAACATAATTTTAAATTATTAGCTATGTGAGTAATAGCATAAACCTCCAAGACTTATTCTAAGAGACTTAGTCAAGGGCAGATGAGTGGTAAACATTTTTATGGAAACAAAGCCTTTTGTTCTACATTTGTAGTATTTATTCGTCCTTTCAGCAAATATTTGATCCACTAAAATTCCATGAATTAGGGGTATACTAGTGATCCCTGCATATTTTTAAAGTACGATAAACATCATTGCTCTTTAAATAACAAAGCATTATGGTTTATGTTGATTTTATTTTTCAGTGCCAGCACCTGTTGAACATCAGATCTGTCCTGCTGTGTGTGTTCTAATGAAACTTTCATTTGATGAAGAGCATAGACATGCAATGAATGAACTAGGTAAGACAAAAATGTTTTTTAATGCCATAGACAATTACTGGTGGATTTTTAAATCATGGTAGAAATTCAGTATAGTAAATAAAGATTTTTAGTCATTGATGAATTATGATATAAGGCCACCAACTTCTGCTATCAGCTGCTTCCTCTGTGTAGCAAAAAAACGTACCCTGGTTTCCAGCAGAGAAAGGATCCTGAATCACAGAAACTGCTACCCTGTCATATACTAACTTTTTCAAAATCGAAGCCAGAGATTGAAGAAAAATGACAAAATGGGTCACTCTTTGTCCCTTTTGCCAAAGTAGACTTTGTGTGTGCCAGCTGATGAGGATGTTAATTTGAATTATTTTGAAATGTGGAGCTAGTGTATTGTGATTGAACTCAGTCACTTTTGATGAGCATCAGAGGGAATTATTATTAAGATTTTCATTTATCTTCATGGTTATCGGTACTTTACAGGATTTTCATCATAAGCAGCCTGGTATCTTTGAAACTGGTTAATATAGAAAAGTATTATGCTTTAAGTCAGAAACATTTCATTAACTTTGGAATGATTACTCCTTTAGGTATGTATTTTCACGCACTAAACCTTATATAACCAGCAGTGCACTCCATTTTTTATATAACGGGTTTTCTTTGATTTGTAGGTTCATTTTGTACATGTGGTATTTATAAATTGCATCATGCTGAACCATCTCATGTGAACTGGATCTCTCTAGTCATGCCACAAGCAGGAACCATACACTTAATTCCCATTTTAGTGTAATTGTGCCCTTGCATTTTGTGCCGTTTATGTTACATTATGTTCCAACTCCCACTTTATATTCCTACCCCCTCATTGTTTCATTCGTCATTTATCTTAAAAGTGATGAAGTCATGAGACTCTTACACAGAGAACCTGAACAGCCAAAAGTATTGTCCTTCAGAGTCATCACTTTGGGTGGCTCTGCACCTTAAGATTTCAGGCCTGCCCTCTGGCCATGCTTTCCTTCCTAGTGGCCTAGCAATTGGCCTCCCTGATTCTCTTTCCTCCCCCTGGTCTCCTGTGGAATCTCAGTTAATCTTATGAATTCTCCCCTCCTTAGTACAATCTCAGCATTTGTGAACATTTTAAATTTTTTAAAATGCTAATCATAACAGGAAGGGGATAAAAAATCATCAATAAACAGGAAAACATTTAATTTTAAGATACCTCAAAAGTTATTCTGTAAATGTTCCTGTGTTCCAGTGGACTGTAGACTAGGACTGAGACATTAATTATCTGGATTTCAAAATAAAACGTAGACTCAGTATTTGTTCCTCTTCCTTCTTCAGGTAGGAAGGCTACCCGGGGCATTTCATCACAGGAGCTAGGGCAGGGGCTTTCAGGTGAGGAGCAGGATGGGGCCTCTGGGGGTGTGACTGCTGGGGACATAGCCACAGGGGATTACCTTCTTCTCACTCCTTACCTCCAGATTTGCACTGGGGCAGAAGGAGGATTAGGGTTTGTGGATTGCAGGGAGATAATAGTATAAGACAGCACAAGGTTTTGGCATTAAGGGATAAGGAAAAAAGAAATCCCAAATAGGTGAAGGGGAATTCCTTAGTTCAGTCAGCTGGGATGGTCATTTGTACATATATGAAGATTCTACAACTATCAGTCATTTACGTTTGCACTTATTAGTATTGAAGTTTTAGACTATAATTTCCATGATGTATGTTTATTGATTCTCAAATCTACCCCAGAAACTGTGCTAGGCACTAGATTTTTATAATGATTAGGACCTGGTCCTGGCTTTCAAGGAACTCACGGTTTATTTGCATTAATATTTCACAAAATATCTTAATCATAATGATCACCCAGAGGCACTCACCAAACTGCAGATTTTCTGGCCTTGTAGCAAATAGAATCTCCAGGGGAAGGGCCTAGGAATCAATGTGATAAGTGGCCTGGCTGATTCTTATGTTCAGGAGATTTTGTGAAACACCAATAGAATATTCTTGTTGAGCCTGTGATATTTATTTTAGAACAAGGCATTTAATGCCAATGGTGACTATCTAAACCACATAAAACAAAAGTAATATACTTTTTAAAATTATCAGTCTTTCTTTTGTTCATAAGAGTCTAAATTAAGGATTCTGTTGAATGTCACCTGAGTCTGTTGGTGCTCTACTATCGGTAGTTTTACCCTATTGGGCAATACTTTGGTCTGTTTAGACCACTGTTTGCTAACAGGCACCAAGAAAATTGTGGAAGGACATGTTCATCATCTTTGTGTTACCATGAAACATCCTGATTTTTCTTAGAGCAGCCACTTTTTAATTGTATCAATCCAGTCATGAATTTGCATATTTTAGCAAATCCATTTATAGTTTTAACCTATGAATTCTATTCTATGCCTCAGAATTCTCTGAAATCTTTTCATTTGCGTGAAATCAAAAAGCACTTCCTCTTTTATCTGATAGTCTAAATTTTTTTGAATATTCTTTTTTTATTAGCCATGTTCTTCCTGAATCTCTTGATATCTGCCACATTCTTATTTAATCTTTATTTTCAGTATCAAGTCCTAAGATTTTTAGTTTTTCCATACAAGAGTACTCAACTCTTTGATCATGTCGTGCCTTCTTGGCATCTTCTTTAGGTGCATTTTATCTTTCTTAAGAAAGTATCGCAGTTATTGTCACACCAGGCAAGATTTTATACAGACAAAAGGCATAGTTTGTTTTGTTGTGGTATTGATCCTCTGCTTTAAAATACCCGACATCTTGGCGATCTCATTAGTATACCAGGCCACAGTCTTAAGGTCTTCCATGTCAATTTCATGGGTCAAAATTCTTAGTTCTTTTACAGGCTCCTTTTCTTTCACCAAAGTGTAAAATGGTGGAATTCCTTGAAGCTCTGCCCTAGGCTCTCTTCCTTTCTCTCTATGCTTCTGTTACAGTTTTTGTTTTCATTTTCAAATTTACAGCTCAGTCTGAGTTCTCTCCCTGAGTTTTAGACACATTATTGAACTGATTATGTGACATCTTCCCTTAGGTGGTATTTTAGACACTTCTAACTCAACTGTCACAAAGTGAATTCGTAATCTTTCGCATCCCTGAATCTCATCTTTTCCCAGTTTCCTTTTCTCAGAAATTCCAACCCAGTTGCTCAAACCAAAATCTTGGAAGGCATTCACGATGCCATCCTTATCCCCTGCAAATAGCAACTGACTGCTTTAATTCTGCTACTTAAAAATATCTTAAGTCATCGCTCTTCTCTTCATCCCCAGTCCAAGCCACCATCATCTCTCCTGTTCTGCAATACTTTGTCTTACTTCTCTTCCCATTTCCACTGACAGTCCATTTTGTTCACTGAAACCATAGTAATCTGTTTAGAATGTGCATCTAATTATTCCTTTTTCTGCGTAAAATTTTTAATATGGCACATAAAGTCTTAAGTGATCTGGCATCTACCCATGTTTATAGCCTCATTTTGTGGCCCTCTCCTTGCTGTTAAATATTTCAGGCCCAGGGGCCCTTTTGCATGCTGTTTCCTTTGCCTAGAATGTGTCTTTCTTCTTCCTTCCCCACCCTTGTTACATATGCATTCATCTGGCTGGACCTGGTAGCTCATGCCTGTAATCCCAGCACTTTGGGAGACCAAGGCAGGAGAATCACTTGAACCTAGGAGTTCGCGACCAGCTTGGGCAACATAGTGGTATCCTGTCTCTACCAAAATAAAAAAATTTTAAAAAGATATACATTCATCCTTTACGTTTCAACTTAAACATTAAAACATTATTTCCTCAGCCTTTTTCTTAGGGAACCTAATCCCAGGTCTAGGTTAAGTCCACCTGTTATATCACCCTGTGCTTCTACATAGTTCATCTATCTTTGCTCCAATCTGTACGCTCTTCATAAAGACAATGACTGATTTTTGTTCACTGTCTATGTATTTTGCCACTGTTGCAGGTGAATGGAGGAAAATTTTCCTAAATAGGATTTAGATTTTCTTTAACCAAATTAATTTTCACTTACCTACATTCAAACATGTCTGTCATTCCTGCTAGTCATAAAGTTTTACATAAATATTCCTACATTTAAATCCCTTGGCTTGGAATTCTTGAGCCAAGACAGAACTTTGTTTTACAAACTTGCAAGATTCTTCTGCATATTGAACTTTCCAGACCACTTATAAAAATATTAATGTACTGGCTTTTTTTCAGATTAATGACCTATTTAGACTTCTAGTGTCCAAGAATTGCCTGTTCATATTCATCTTTTTCTTTCTGAGTCCCATGATGATTATTTGATGAATTATATTTTGTATAGCCTCCACATGCATTTTTCTCTTTTGTTCACTTCCTTACCATTTTGCTTCACTTTTTTTTTTACTGCTTCCTTTGTGTCTTTCCCATTCCTTTCCCTTTGTTTTCTCCTTGACTTCCTAGTATTGGCCATTGTGGGCATTGTTGAGCATTTTCAGTGGAAAGAATCAGGAAAAAAAGTGCTAAATCTTAGTATAGTTAATATTTGATACCATCAAAGAGAAGTAAGAAATGTGTTTAAAAACACAAATTAGTAGTTTTATATAACTTAATAATAAATTGAACAGATAATTTTTGTAATAAAAAAAATTTTTAGTTTTTCTTCATGCACAGTTTCATTTAAAGGCATCAGTATTCCTAAGGGTAATTATTTGCCAAAAAAAAAAAAAAATTAGTTAGGCCACAGTGTGTGACAATAAAGACTGTTTATAAAGCCCTCATAATAAGAAGAAGTTACCTTTTTCTGCTTATGTTCAGGAAGAACTAGTGTTAGAAAACAGCCTTCTTCACTGTTGGCAAGGTGGAGTGTATATGCAGTAAATAGAAAATAATTATTATTTCACTCAGTAAGATAAGGGGCTGGAGGGTGGAGAAACTGGCATAAAATGAAATAGTTGTCAGTTGTACTTTATAAATATACAAAAGTTCTTTATAACAGTTTTTGTGGCTTATAATTCTAAAGGTGAATTTAAACCATATATCTCATTCATTTAGATTCTTTTCCCTAATACTTAAGTTACCAACTTGGTACCAGTTTGTTTTATTTTAGATGATTGTCTTTTTCCTCTTGCCCTTTTAAAATTAGGGGGACTACAGGCCATTGCAGAATTATTGCAAGTGGACTGTGAAATGTATGGGCTTACTAATGACCACTACAGTATTACACTAAGACGATATGCTGGAATGGCTTTGACAAACTTGACTTTCGGAGATGTAGCCAACAAGGTATGTTTTTATAACACATATTTCTTAAGATAGCTCAGGTATGAGTTAATTTACTTTCATAAAAACACATTTTACTGATTTTCTTGTCACTCTCCTCATTAAATGATGACTGATAAAAACCTGTGCTTCACTTTCGCTTGTCTTTACTCATTTGGTTGTCTTAAGCCTGAACAAAGGCAAAGGTACATCTAAAGATGGAACACAGTAGTGAATTTATGTAATTGCATTAAAAACACTGTTCATACGAATATACTTGTAGGGATCATTTCTGTGATCCATTACTAGAGAATTTTGTCTGACTGTGTAGAATTAAAAAATAAAAGATAAAACACTTCCTAGGAATGGGATTTAAAATCTGAAAATTCTTACGACCAAGGCAAGTGTTACACACACATTGATTCCATTCAAATAAGAGGCTTTACTCTAAAACCTGTTGCTTATCATTTCTCACCACTTATTCACTTTATTTCTCTAGTTTGGCAAAAGAAGAACAGATAGCAAAGAATTAAGATAATATTTGTCTTTTATTTAGGTAATCTTATTCTAGATTTTTTATGAGCAAAATATCAGTTATGATTAAAACAAAATAATGAAAACTGAATTAGACATTTAATAGCCAGAAATAAAGCTTGGCTTCAAGTTGTCTTGTTGATGATCCTCTGTTCTGTATCTAATTTACAGGCTACGCTATGCTCTATGAAAGGCTGCATGAGAGCACTTGTGGCCCAACTAAAATCTGAAAGTGAAGACTTACAGCAGGTACTATTTAGAATTTCAACTGTTTTTCTCCCTTTTTCTTTGAGGCAGGGTCTCACTCTGTCACCCAGGCTAGAGGGCAGTGGTGCAATCTCAGCTCACTGCAACCTCTGCCTCCAGGGTTCAAGCAATCCTCCCACTTCAGCCTCTCAAGGCTGGGCTGACAGGTGCACGCCACCATGCCAAACGAATTTTTGTATTTTTTGTAGAGACAGGGTTTCACCACTCCTAGGCTCAAGCAATCTGCCCACCTTAACATCTCAAAGTGCTGGGATTTACAGGCGTGTGCCACCACTCCCAGGTAATATCCTGATTTAGATTGTTGCTCAGTATTTAGTATCTCATGTATAAAAGATAGTTCCATTAACACTAGAAAAAGAAAAATAATTATGTTGTAGTTATACTGTAGGAAATCTTTTTGGCACTGTAGTAGCATTTAGGAGGAATTTAAAAAAGAAAAAAAAAAAGTAAAGAAAAAAAAAAACAGGATCTCCCTCTCTTGCCCAGGCTGGAGTGCAGTGGTGCAATTATGGCTCATAGTAACCTTAAGCTCCTGGGATCCTCCTGCCTCAGCCTCCCAAGTAGGTAGGACTACTGCAGGTGCATGCCACCATGCCCAGCTAATTTTTAAAAACTTTTTGTAGAGACAGTGTGTCACTGTGTTACCCAGGAAGGTCTTGAGCTCCTGATCTCAGGAGATCCTCCTGCCTCAGCCTCCCAAAGTGATAGGATTACAGGCATGAGTCACCACGGCTTGCCAGAATTTCTTCCTTAATAGATTTCTGTTCTTACCTCTAGCATTAAAAACGAAAAAGCAACTAGTATGAATGATTTTATGTAAAAATTAATCTAAAATTGATTAATTTGCAGGTTATTGCAAGTGTTTTGCGGAATTTGTCTTGGCGAGCAGATGTAAATAGTAAAAAGACGTTGCGGGAAGTCGGAAGTGTGAAAGCATTGATGGAATGTGCTTTAGAAGTTAAAAAGGTACCTTTGAAAACATTTAGTACTATAATACGAATTTCATGTTTGGCTTTTTTTTTTTTTGCTGCCTTCTTTTAGCCATGAGATTCCCTAGTTTCTTACCTGTGTATTATTTAGTACTATAATAAGAATTTCATGTTTGGCTTTTTTTGCTGCCTACTTTTAG